GAATTGAATGAAGTGAATGAAGTGAGTTTGACGAATGAGTTATGTGAAATGAGTGAACAAGCGAGCGATTTTGCGAGATGAGTTAGAAATAAAAGTGAGTGAGTGGGATGGCATCATTTACTAACTACTCAACTCAAAGGTCAATAAATTTACTGTTTGCGTGAATTCAGTTTTCATTTTTTGATGAACAGATGAATAGATGTATCTTACGATATAAATCGATGAGATCGGTAAAAATCAAGATATTAATCGATGAACGAAACGAGTGTGTCATCGATTTCTACTGATTGATCGATACAGTCGATATCAATCAAATCAAATTTATCGATTGATACATCGATACCGATTTTTATCTATTGAATACTCTGGATGCACAGCTCGCCACCATGATTAAAAAAAGCCACGGTGTGTGTATAGTGTGGTATATCACATCCAGTTCCGTTCCTTTTTCCGTGACCATATGCTTTAGAGTTTATGTCAAAATAAATCGAGTTTATTAGCACCGTAGCGTGGCGTCCAAACAGTGACCACGGGGTTTCTCACTTATTTGTTGTCGCTGCAGAAGAGGTTGGAGAGCAGTTTGCAAAGATTCACGGGAGCAATTTCGACCAATCACGATTGAGAAAAGCCGTCTTGCTGTAGATCGTGAGATGAATATTCCAAGCATAGTTCGCCTCAATAATTTCGTTTTTTTTCCTCGTTTTCCGTCATCGATTCGTGAAGAAATTCTTGTGCTGGTTTAGCTTAGCCCTCTTGATTGTATAGATGCGAAAATCTTTACTAAGGTGAGTAGATTTTTAGTGTTTGTTTTCATCGAGCTATGCTCAACATTCCAAAATGGCTGCTCATCTTGGGCGGTTTGAAGTGCGAGTCTTTCGCTTCTCCGTGCCTCAATTGGTCTACTTTTCACAAAACTTTTAAGAAAAAATAGTGATCTTCCAGTTTGTACGGTCGAACCCCCCCCCCCCCCCCCCCCCTCCCTCTCTTTTGCTTCTTTTCTCTCTTCTCCAGTATTGTTGTTACGGGATAGAGCTCTTATGAGGGGGGTGAGGGTGCGCCTCAGTATGGGGGTGGGTTGTGGTAGAGCGGCTCTGTTCTCTATTGCTCTGTTGTGGTCTGAAGGACATNATCTTGCTTATACGTCTGTAGTGTGTAAGGCTACAGTAATAACATTGAGCGAGTGTGCAAGTACACGCTCTTTGGTTTCTTGATATGGGAGCTTTTAATTTTGTTTGGGACGCTGGAGGAAATTCCTAATCAAGTTTTTCTTGTGATTTCTTTTCTTTTTAGATTTACAAGCACAAGGCCAAAGAGATACATCCTGAACAATAGATAACTCATTATTGCTTGATACAATAATTGTTTCTGAGATTTGGTAAACATACCGTGCATATTATTACCTTTTATGAAGTTAAACTGTTAAGAAGGAGAATAAAAAATGCCAGGTTATAAATGTAGTAAACGAATCAAAGCCGTTGTTGTCCTACATGTATTATAAAGTACATAATTATGAAACTAATCTTTGACTGCATGCCTGACTGATATTTTTTGTAGCAGAGAGCAGAGCAATTAGTTGACTTTTAGTTTTTCTATTCTTCCAGATTTCTTATTCAAAGACTGTGAAAATTAATCAGATCTGTTACTCTCCAGGGTATTTATATATTTTAACAGGTTTTTTTTGCAGCGAGTAGGCATAGCACAGATTTTCAAGTCCTGCCAAATCTGAGTATCCATTATTACTTGTAAAATATTAATTAGCACAAATTTAGGCCCCTGAGTCTCCGAGGATGGGTTCTTATTTTCTGAAGAAAAAATAGATTCAAGCTAAGACTATTCAGTGGTATTCAGCTTATTCCTAACAAAAAATATGCATACCATTACATATTGCAGTATGATAGGCACAGTCCGCAGTGAAAAGGCACCTGTGCCGAATGTTGACATATCTCATTTGCCCAAGTGTACAGACTTTTTTAAAACAGATTTTAGAAAATAAGAACCTGTTTTTAAATATTAGGCTTAACAGGTTCTTGTATATAGGGGGCGTAACAGGCAAATTTTAGCCTAACACTGCTAGGTTCTTAACAATCAGGTTATTTAGTTGCAGATTTTTACTGTATTCGCTTTTTTGTGCTTTTGGTCAGAGACATTTTCTATCTTGAACAGTGGGTAGGGGATGAGAACAATAAAAGTCTCGCATGAGTATTCACAATGTTTCCAGACATGGGTAAAAAAACAGTATTTTCTTTTCTTCTCCAGATATTGAAGACAATTAGCGATGGTGATCTTCTTGGCAGTCGGAGATGCCTAATGCTGGATGGTTCTCTCATTTTTTTACCACTATTTCTCCAACTACTGGATATCATTCTGTAAGGGATATTTATACCACTACTACACTAAATGAAACCACTACACTGCGTCTTATAAACAAAAAAGCTGCCCTTGAAATACTGTTCATTCAGTCACCTGTTAATGTAATATTTGTGATGGAGGAAATGGGGTCATGCATTGCTGGGGCCTCGATATAAAAGAAAAAATGACACTATTTCAGCAAATTTTAAAAAATATGCTGAAATGGAAGTGTGGTCATTGCTCAAATACATAGTGATACTGAGAAAGCGAGAGAATCTCATATCTGTATCATTGGATCGGAAATGCATGTGATTTACTTTTCTATTTGGGAAGCCCGTGTCGACAATTCTAAAAGTGATACATTTTTATGAGGAATTTACTCAGAGTTTTCTTGCATCCAATTATGAAGTAGTCCAGTCCAAGAGAAAACTTACGTTCTCCAAAGCTGTGTTGTATGTACCTAGCATTCATTCAAATACAGCTTTACTTATGACTTCAGTCCTTGACGAAGTCTTCAAGAATCGAAATATAAGCTTACTTTGCTTGTAAATTACAAATGAGCAATCCAAAGAATGAACTCAAGAGGACCATCGATCAATTAAAACTAAGTTATCGATAGATACTAAATCGTAATCTCAAATCTGTGAGACATTTGCCTTGCCCATTACACTGCTAACCATCATTCCAATTCTTAATCGGTCAGTTGAATGTGTATTCGCAATAACCTTCGCTGTCTAGAAAGGTGAACGCATTTAGTTGATACAGCTCACTTTATTTGCAAGCCACAAGCCGACTAACTTTCGACGACGCCAAATAACTTGTTTTAAAGGCATCTCAACCGCTTAGCCGCGAGGAATTTATAACATCTTTGATACGATAAACTTTTTGTACGAAAATATTCAGAATTCTAGCACAATTATGGCTAAAATCGGCAAAAAGGCGTGCATCACGGTGGTCCGTCTAGCTCGACGGTTTCGTTGTAACTGAGCTACTTAATAATTCGTCCCATGAGCCTTTGCGAACTGCTGTCCAACCTCCCCTGTTGTCGCTGTTAATTAAACGCGGGGAGGACGTAATTACTGGAAAACCAGAAGCATCAAAAACTTTCTTGATAAAGTGAAAAACGATCTTTGATAGGTTTTAAAACCAGTGATCTAAATGGTATGGGGAAAGTCGAATTTTATACTCATGTAGCAGCGATTACGCCACCGACCGATTTGCTTAAAATCCCTATTAGCCCTGTGTCTCGTAGTTAATATCTAAAACCACATGATTGGCTTTTCAGTCAACCATGGTCATTAGCATACCGTGAGCAAGGACCCTTGCCTCTATAGCGTCATTTTCATCAGCATCTGCACCTGACCTTACATCTATTTTAGAAGCCGACGCACGTCTAGCGCTATGAATCCCGATTGTGGCACCTGTTGTTAAACAGACAGAAGCTCTTTTAAATCTGAAGTACCACGGTAAACTATGTCTAAGACAACCAAAAAGGGGTTTAGCACTGAAAGTCCTCAACAGCAAGATGTCAGTGTGCCCAATAATTGGTTACATTGACCAAGACAAATAGCTTGAAACCAAGTAGCCCAAGCTTACAAGATATGAGAGCCCTGAACAACATTATATCCTGTTCAATTATATCTTATCCATAGGGCAACAATTATAATTTATAAGTCGTTGTACGAGCATTATTCCTTTTGTCCTATAATTGATCAAAATTTTTTTGCGACATGCGAGGCAAGTTCCAAGAGAAGTTACTCAGTGAATGAAGCAAGCCTTAAGTGAAATTTCTCCCTAATAAAAATGCTGCGCTCCAGAATAATGCTGTTACAACGGGACATTTGGCGTCTTTTGGGCAGCAGAAATTGCAAGACAAGTTAAAATGTATTCCATTGTTTAACCTCGTAATTTGGAACTTTAAATTTGCTAATTAACGTATCAGATATGTGCTTACCGCTTAAACCCCCGATTGCTCCCAAAAGAAACTGCTGCTCTTCCAGATTTCTAAAATTCACTAATCCCGCAGGGTTTACTTCCCTTGTAATTCTATAATGGAACAACTGCAACATCACTACAACTGCAACATCACTAGGCTACATTTTGGGGAATGTTTGTAGGATTGACTTACGTATCTGTGCGAGTAAAATTTAAAATAGTTTGATTAGATGAGTAGATAGTCAAAGAATTCCCTCTTAGATGACCTCGTAGCCCACCTTTGGCTTGAGTAGGCTTAAGCAAAACAGTGAACGAGGCGTATGTTTTTCTGTTTGAGATGTCGTAAATGGTCGTATTACCAGTAATATCGTAACTCCATTGCGATAAAAAATCACCACTGATCTAGATCGTCACGGATAATCCCCTGTTATCCAAACAAAAACTTATCGAAACCCAACTGCAAAGCAGAGTCGAAACGTGAGATTTTGTGTACCTACGGGAAGAAAGTTAGAGAGCCCGAGACGCTCCAAACTAGGGGGCTGGCGGCAAGTACTCCCCCCGAAAATATTTAAAGCAATGGTTTCAAAAATGCCATTTCCAGCGTTTTGCAGGATATTTTCAGTAAATAAATACGAAGAAAAATGATGAGGCGGACACTGTGAGGGGGCAGGGAGAGGCTACAATTTTTCGTTGTTTTTCACCCCAATGCAAGGCCTAGGCCAAACGTCGAACTTTTTATGAGAGGAACCAAACTTACAGAGTTAAGTTCATGACTGAAAATTCGACGTTTGGCTCGGTTAAGTTCGTCTAAATGGGTTTGGATCGTTCAACATTCTTCTGCTTGAATCAGACCGATAGAACGTGTAAAGATCGTCGCCGGGACAAAAGAAAATTTATTAGATTGCTTTTTGGTCTGTTTCAGTTTATTTGTTCGACGCGTCCTAAGTTCGACGTCTGACCCAACAGACGATCTTAACTTAATTTAGGTCGACCCAAATTAGAGTTTGGTTCGTCTCATCAAAAGTTCGACGTTTGGCCTAGGGCCGGTTAGGGTTTCTTGCCGTCCGTTTATGGAATAGTAAAAGAATAAGGAAATACGTTAATCGCAGCAAAATGACAGGAGTTTTAAAAACAAGTACTAAATAAATTACATGTTCAAATTCTGTTAAAATGTCAAGTGAATTTTGCATATAATTAATAATCCCTTAATCTAACAGTCCTCTATTCTCGGCTTGCACTGTCACGCAATGAAAAATAAAAATGCAAACCATTCAATACAGAAGGACTAGAATCTGGGAAATGAAAAAAGATAAATATACAAAAAAGTATGGAAACGCCATGTTGGTGTCCCTTTCAGGAACACCAATATGGCCGCCGGATACCAACAGAAACATCTGTTTTCGAGTTTTCCTACTAATGCGTGAACTCTTCGCTTGAGGAACTCATAAAGATTACAGTAATATTTATTCTGAGACAAGGAATGTTTAGATTGCAAAATCTCCCAAAATCGGTAAAGTTTTTAACCCACATAAGAGCTTTCCCGGCCGCCAGCTAAATGGCGCGTGACGCAAAAGCCTGGAAATTCAAGTGTCCTCTCTCGCAAAACGAAGAACCCTTTCGAACCAAAAACTTGTTTATGTAAAGATGTTTAGGTGCTGTAATACCTCGTGAAAGTAGAAACTCAGAAGAATCGATAGTTTCTTAGTTTGATTTTTGGTGGCGTCACGTGCAACCCAAGAATAGCCTTCACTGATTTGCATAATTGCATCATATGGTACAATAGTTTTGAGAATACGATAATCATGACAACAATTTATAATGATGATTTCATTGATGATGAGGTCTAGGATAATAATGACGATAGTGATGATGTTACCTGCAAGACACCACGCCACCATTAAATGATTGTTCAGCGATTTCTACAGCGAGTGGAGTCTATAAAAAATTAAAAAATAATAAAAAGTTTGGCAAGTGTGAGATGATCTGATGATTCAACGCGGTACCTCGTTAAATTGCTTGATTGACTTCATTTTTTCTTTATATCACAACCTCCAACCTCGTGGGCGGGAAAAGGCCCTGGCATCGGCTGGTCACGTGCAGAGCCTAATTATTCCTGAGAAACTAATTTATATGAAACCCGCTGATTTTGCGCTGACAGAAGTCGAACGGAGCAACAGTGGAAAATAATAATATCGCCAACTGTATGTTAATATTTTCGCGTCTGTGCGATTCAAAAGCTTAAGATCTTTTTAACTGCTTATTATTCAAATGCTACAAGTTTATGAAAGGGCGTACCGGCTCTACGTTGTTACGTACAAAATATGTCAAATGCTTCAGAGTTGAGACAAGCTGTTATCGAGTACGTAGTACTTCTACTGAAATTCATCGTGACTGTGGAATTACTGTACGATCAAGCAGAAAGTGATTTTGTCCAATGTCAAACAAAAATGCGGGCGTTGGCCTCTAGGATCTGCAGTGAATTTAAGCAAATTGAACTTAATTGAAATAGAATTGTTCATCAAAATGCTTTATGGAGTCTGGTCTTCTCTACAACCCAACCATGAAACAAACAAATCTCCGCGTCGGATGCAAGTCAGCCCTCCAGCCAGGAACGATGATAGGTCGCTGATCTGAAACATTTTAAGATCTCTTATATCTTTTCTCTTCCGAGGATAAGTACAAAGGATTTTCCTTTTATCAAAGGGAAGATTGACCGATCGATTGGAATCAACAACAGCTCTGTCAATTTTAAATGGACCCAAGTCTTTCTTTTTTACCAGTCATTTGATACCCTGGGTGCCAGAAACTTTTCATTCGTGGTTTCCGGTTTCGGTCAAGTCTCGCAGAGGTCAATGAATTTTTTAAAATACAGGTCCTACTAGATAACTCTAAACCAACGCGTGTCGCTATGATATGGCTGAGAGTCAAGGTAAACTACTAGGTTATGTACGGCGGTCCACTTCGCAAGAAATAAATAAAATATCAAAAGAGTCGCGAAAACGGACTTTTCCATGCCAGTACAAACTTTATGCATGTACGATAGCTTGTTTGTCATTTATATCGCTCTATAAAGGAAGTTTTACAAATGTTACCGCTCGCTGTCTCCTTCATAGAAATCGGAGGAGAGCAAAAAATTACCATAGCCAGTATCTGTGACAAAAAAGAAATCTTGTAAAACTTTTCGTTACTCGTCAAGAGATATAAAAGACCGCCCAAGATCGCGCTCTGTGAGGTTACGCATAAATTCAGCTTTTCACATAGCGCTAATTTATTACATCAAGGACTTTAGGGTGTACGAGGGGACACGTGACCAGCCGATGCCAGGGCCTTTTCCCGCCCCACCCATTTTTTAAGGGAAAAGCCCTGGGTACGAGATTGTTTATATCATGTATCTCAATCACCTTTTTTTAACATTTTAAAACGAAACGTCCTGTCAAACGAGGCATTGATTGCTTTAGTTTACTTGAGTGATAAAACTGTATAAAAATATGCAGTTGTTACTACTGAGTGCGTTAAATCTCTAAAACATGAAAATCAAAATTTCGCACGTGCTTGTGGTTAGATAAAAACGATAATGGTGATGAGCTTTGGAATCAAAGAGAAGCAAAGAAGGCGGCCGCACTACCTTGGGGAAACCAAATGCTAAAAAAATATGATAAAAACTAATTAAAGGCAAGGGATAATGTTTAGCAACGTTCAGGAGACCATATAGTCTGACGTCAATGAAAAACAGCGATTGACTTACCGGATCTGTCCTGGCTGGTGTTGATCTACCTGTTGCGTAATAATGGCCACTTAGTGAGGTATCGCTGGCGCAAATAAGTATGTCGGTATCAGGCTGTGGACAATGAGATAAAATTCAGGTAAGGAAAACACAGGCCAAAAGTTTAGTGGTTGGAAAATCTTAACCGTTACAGGGAGCCCAGGTGGACTCTAGCCGTCAGTGTTGAAAAAATTTTTACCGTAAAAAGAATTCCTAAGCACTAAATGCCATTGGAATTGTGTATCACTTTGCAACAATGGAAATTCATTTTGATCTTTTCAAACAGCTAACGAATTTTTCTAGATTTTTGCTCATCGTAGCGGAGAGGATGGTCAATAAGCCTAGCCTTTAACTGCAAAGAAGCTAAATAACTAAAAGTTGGCCGGGAGCCTCCACTCCATTAAGACCCTCTCTTGAAGAGCATTTTAATAACAGCTAAATTTGCGTGTGAATGCAATTACTTTTCTACCACACCATTGTACAGTCTGGTTACTTACCATCTGATTATCTTCACTAAATCCCACTCCTACCCAGTTTCCTCTGCCTCTTAGTTCGAAAACCACACTGTTAGCACCAGAAGCTTGGTAAGTCACAAGAAAATCACAATCTGCATCCGGGCAATTATCTGGAAACCTAAAGCTTCCTTGCTGCCTAGTAGGGGCCTCCTGAAAAGGGACAGATTCCAAATAACAGATGTTTCAAAATTTATGTCTTAATATGAAAGTACTGTTTTTGTCTTATGGCAGAGTAGGTAGTCCGCATGGCATACATAATTTGCGACGTCAAGAGGAATCGCTTGGCTAACATTTAACATATTCAAAATCTTACATGCTTCTTTCTATTCGCATTTGCTCTATACTTGCTATAAAATGAAACAGCCACCAAACTATACTGGAGCTATTTCTTTCTCTTTTTATTTTGTGAAACTGAGTTAAAGGAATGCCTGGACGAACAGGTTTCTATTGATACAATTGTATCCGCGGCGGGGGGGGGGGGGAAGAAAGAGGAACTATCATTACTGCCACAATTTTCATCGTAGTTGCTTACCCATTTAGTATGGCAGAAAAATAAAGTACAACCGTACCGTCGAGGAAGAACTTGTCGGCATAACTGTTACTCCACTTACCACTTCACTTCTTACGACGTTGATTCTAGAACCTGAAGCACGTCTATCTGAATGAATCATGATTGTACCACCTGTTGTTAAATCAGGCAGAAGGTCTTGTAAATCTCAAGTACCACTGTAAACTATGTCTAAGATCTAGACAGTCGCCAATGGTTTAGCACTGAAAGTCCTCAACAGCGAGATGTCAGTTTGCCCAGTTAGCAATAGTTGGATACACTGACCAAGACAACTAGCTTGAAACTTGCCTTAAAAAGAGTTGCTCGCAAATATGGACGAAACTACCAGTAGCCCAAGCTCACAAGATATGAGAGCACTGAACAACATTATATCCCACTAGTTCTTGTCCATACGGCAACAATTATAATTTATAAGACGTTGTACGAAAATTATTCCCTTTTCCTATAATTGATTAAAATGTTTATCGACATGCGAGCCAAGTTTCAAGAGAAGTTACTTAGTGAATCAAGCAAGCCTAAAGTAAAATTTCTCTGATGAAAATGCTGTAGAATAATACTCTTACTAACGGACATTTGGTGTTTTTGAGGCAGTAGAAAATTGCAAGGCAAGTTAAAGTGTTTTCCATTGTGTAACCTCGTAATTCGTAATTAACGTATCAGATATTTGCCTACCGCTTAAACCACCGATTGCTCCCAAAAGAAACTGCTGCTCTTCAAGATTTCTAAAGTTCGCTAATCCCGGGTTTACATCCCTTGTAATCCTATAAAACAGTAGCACAACTGACATCACTAGGGGCGCTTTCCATCCAACAAAAATACCGGTTTGAAATTTCTTGAATTTTACATGTCCAATGCAACGGTACATTCCGGTTGCACAGACCCGACCCAAGCCACCGCGCGTTTGGTTATTGTTCTTGTAAGTAGGATACAAAAGAGCGGTACTGGGGACAACAATTCTGTCAAATAGAAAGGGACATTTCGGTCCGACCGACCAAAATGACCAGACCGGTCAAGGTGGAACACCTTAAAAGCTGGTCCGGAATATTCCGGTCGGACCAAACCGAAATGGTCCGCTCCATTTGATGTACCAACCGAAATTTTCGGAATTTTGGGTTGCCAGGCTACATTTAGAGAATATGGTAGTAGTATTAACTTAATTACATATTAATTATCTATAAGTAAAATATGAAATAATATGATAGTCAAAGAGTTCTCTCTTGGACGACCTCGTAGCCCATCTTTAGCTTGAGTAAGCTTAACCAAGACAGTGAACGAGGCGTATATTGATCTGTTTGAGATGTTGTAAACGGTCGTTTACAACATCGGTCCAAACTAGGGGGTCTGGGGGCAATTAGTCCCCCTGAATATATTTAAATCAATGCTTTCAAAAATACCATTTCTTTCGTTTTGCAGGACATTTTCCGTAAATAAATACAAAGAAAAATGGTGAGGCTGACACTGTGAGGGGGCAGGAAGAGGGTACTATTTTTGTTTTTTTTTTCACTCCATTTTAAGGCCTATAGGCCAAACGTCAAACTTTTCATGAGACGAACCAGACTTATAGCAAGCTCTCGCGCGCGAAGAGCGCGCAGCGGAGCACCACGGGTAAGAAAATGTGGTAAACTTCCCATCCAAGAAAATTTGGTAATCACGTGACCGACCGACCGACCGACCGACCGCCCGCCCGAGAGTCCGTCAGCACCACAAGCATACCAATGTAACATAATAATTCAATCAACAGGTATGGCCACCGAAATGAAACTCAATGTTCTATTTGGAAAGAAATCGCATGGCCGCCGCCCGGAGAAAAAACAACAACAAAGTCGTGTCTTCTTGGACATTATTTTTGATGTTTACACTCACGTGGATAATAGAGAAAGAGCAAGAGTGAGTGATTGAAAACAAAAGAGACGAATTTTGTAGGAAGAATAACATGAAAATTCAAAGCAGCGGTGATACAATGAGAATGCTAGCGGCCAGCAAGGAGCGGCGAGCAAGGTGAAAATGAGGGGCAGTGAAAAACAAAAGCGAACATGAACACAGGAGACAAAATATTGGGTAAGCACATACGACAATTCCTCCATAAAAATAATGCGTAACTAGGAAGTTTGACGATTTAGTCCTACAAAACAGCGCTGTAGTGGTGCAAAACAACGGCAAAGAAAGACAAAAAGCGTGCTGCACGTGCAAATTTGTTTTTTTGCCTGAATTAGAAAAAAAAGTGTGCTGCACGTGCAATTTGTTTTCTTTAATTCTTTTCTGCTATTAGATCTATTAATCTTGATGCCAATTTTATTGCCTTCCCCGTTTAGCATTACACGATTTAATTTTTTTTTTGTTTATAAGTATTATTAACCTAAATCTTTATATATATTAGAGTTAAGTTCATGAAAAGTTCAACGTCTGGCTCAGTTAAGTTCGTCGCTGAATGAGTTTCGGTCGTCCAACACGTTCTATTCTTTTGCTTGAATCAGACCGATAGAACGTCTAAAGATCGTCGCCGGGACAAAAGAAACAAATTATTTAGATTGCTTTTTTTGGTCTGATTATTCAGTTTATTGGTTCGACGCGTCCAAAGTTCGACGTCTGACCCAACAGTCGACCCAAATTAGAGTTTGGTTCGTTTCATGAAAAGTTCGACGTTTGGCCTAGGGCTATTAACGTTTCTTGCCGTCAGTTTATACCCTGCGAGCAGTGGTTTCTCCAGGCCGGACGTTACGCTTCGATGGGAAAGAAACCACTGCGAGCAACCTTTTGCTTTTCCATCGAGCATGCGCGTCCACATGATGACTACGAATATCCAACGAAAAGACGGCAACGAGAACTTCAACAAAACAATAGGTTTAATAGGCAAAACAACAACTTTGCACGTGCACCACGCTTTTATTTTTGCATTTCTTTGCCATTTTTGCACAACTACGACGTGAAAATGCCTAATTTTGCGTTTTATGGGTAACGTAAACAAGCAACGACGAAATTTATTCTTCTTTTCGCTCTTGAACTTGGACATGGTCCCTTGGAATTCAACTCCATTTGGGTTCGCCTACATTTGACAAAGTTAAGTAGATAGGAATAAATAATACGAAGAAATACTGACTATCCACAGCAGCCTCGCGTTAAGGCAGCAACTGTAAGCGTAACCAAATGCGCGAGAGCCTAAACTTGCTTTCAAACAGGATTTACATGTTTAAAGTTAATTTATTCGTCCATAGCGATGGACGGCGGCTCGATCAAAGAAGCAGACGGATGCTCGCAGTGGTTTATCTCCCTTCCTAGCGTAGTGTCCGGCCTGGAGAAACCACTGCTTGCAGGGTAGTCAGTTTATGGAATAGTAAAAGACTACGGAAATACGTACTTACGCAAAGACACCAATAAAATGCGAAAAACTTATTAGTAATCCCGATTTAATGATCATAGAGATACTTTCAGGAATTTTTTTTTTTTTTCGGATTTTAGCTGTACGCACAGCCGTATGTGCGTATATGGACGCTACGCTCCTGCAAAGGAGACATAAAGACAAAAAAAAATTTGCATTCTTCAGCATGTACCTGAGGCTAGCCCCAGAAAAATCACAGGAATTTTAAAAACAGGTACTAAATATGTTTCATGTTCAAATTCTGTTAAAATGTCATATGCATATAATTAATAATTCCTTAATCTAACAGTTTTCTATACCCTTCACTGGTTTGCATAATTGCAATACATAGCCGTACAGTAGTTTTGAGAATACGATAATCATGCCAACAATTTATAATGATGATTTCATTGATAATGAGGTCTATGATAATGATGACGATGGTAATGATAAGTTACCTGCAAGACACCACGCCACCATTAAATGATTGGTCGGCGATTTCTACAGCAGGTGGAGTCTATTAAAAAAATTACAAAAAATGATAAGAAGTTTTGGCAAGTGTGAGTTGATCTGATGATTCAACGCGTCCCTTTTTAAATTGCTTGATTGGCTGCATTTTATCTTTATATCACGTATCTCAGTCACCTTTTTTTTAAAATTTGAAAACAAAACGTTCTGTTAAACGAGACATTGATTGCTTTATTTTACTTAAGTGATTACACTGTATAAATTACTACTGAGTGCGTTAAAATCTCTAAAACATGAAAATCGAAATTTTGCACGTGCTTGTAGTTAGAGAAAAACGATAATGGTGATGAGCTTTGGAATCAAAGAGAAGCAAAGAAGGCGGCCGCACTACCTTGGGGAAACCAAATGCTAAAAAAAATATGATGAAAACTAATTAAAGGCAAGAGATAATGTTTAGCAACGTTCAAAAGACCATATAGTCTGACGTCAATGAAAAACAGCGATTGACTTACCGGATCTGTCCTGGCTGGTGTTGATCTACCTGTTGCATAATAATGGCCACTTAGTGAGGTATCGCTGGCGCAAATAAGTATATCGGTATCAGGCTGTGGACAATGAGATAAAATTCAGGTAAGGAAAACACAGGCCAAAAGTTTAGTGGTTGGAAAATCTTAACCGTTCCAGGGAGCCCAGGTGGACTCTAACCGTCAGTTTTGAAGAAATTTTTACCGTAAAAAGAATTCCTAAGCACTAAATGCCATTGGAATTGTGTATCACTTTGCAACAATGGAAATTCATTTTGATCTTTTCAAACAGCTAACGAATTTTTCTAGATTTTTGCTCATCGTAACGGAGAGGATGGTTAATAAGCCTAGCCTTTAACTGCAAAGAAGCTAAATAACTAAAAGTTGGCCGGGAGCCTCCACTCCATTAAGACCCTCTCTTGAAGAGCATTTTAATAACAGCTAAATTTGCGTGTGAATGCAATTACTTTTAACACTGTTAGCACCAGAAGCTTGGTAAGTCACAAGAAAATCACAATCTGCATCCGGGCAATTATCTGGAAACCTAAAGCTTCCTTGCTGCCTAGTAGGGGCCTCCTGAAAAGGGACAGATTCCAAATAACACGTGTTTCAAAGTTTATGTCTTAGTTTGAAAATACTGTTTTTGTCTTACTGGTAGGGTAGGAAGCCTCATGGCATGTAAAATCCGCGACGTCAAGAGGCATCTTGTCCACCTTTAGCATATTCAAAATCTTACATTCTTCTTTCTATTCTCATTTGCCCTATACTTGCTATTCTTGGTTTTCACATGACGTCACCAAAATTCAAACTAAGAAACTATCGCTTCTTCTGAGTTTCTACTTTCATGTGATACTAGAGCACCTTAAAACCTTTATACAAAAAAATTTTCGGTTCAAAAGGGTTCCTTGTTTTGCGATACAGGACGCTTGAATTTCCAGGCTTTTGCGTGTCGCGGCATTTAGTTGGCGGCCGGGAAAGCTCTTATGTGGGGTAAAAACATTACGGATTTTTGGAGATTTTGCTATCTAAACATTCCTTTCCTTAGAATGAATATTACTTTAATCTTTATGAGCTCCTCAAGCGAAGAATTCACGGATAAGTACGAAAACTCTAAAACAGATCCTTCTGTTGGTTTCCGGTGGCCATATTTGTGCCCTGAAAGGGACACAAACATGGCGTCTCCATACAAAGCTTTATAAATTTGGGTAAAGCGTTTTCCCGAATATCTTGCATATCAACAACTGCATATACCTGATTCTTGGCAAGCCTTTTTGTAAATATTTATCTTCTTTCATTTCCCAGATTCTAGACTTCCTGTATTAAAAGGTTTCCATTTTTATTTCTGCCCTCTCACGTGAGTGAAAACGGAGAATAGCATGAAATAGCAACCAAACTATACTGAACCTATTTCTTTCTCTCTTTATCCTATGAAACTGGGTTAAAGGAGTGCTGGGATGAGCAGGTTTCTAGTGATACAATTGTACCCGCGGAGGGTTGGGGGAGGGGAACTATTTTCACTGCCATAATTTTCATCGTTGTTGCTTACTCATTTGGAATGACAGAAAAATAAAGTATAATCGTACCGTCGACGAGGAACTTGTCGGCATAACTGTTGCTCCACTCCCCACTTCACCTGTCAGGACGTTGATTCTAGAACTTGAAGCACGTCTCGCTGAATGAATCCCGATCGTAGCACCTGATGGTTTAAAGTAAAAGCTCATGTAAATCCATCTATCGTAATGTATCGTCACTTCGGCATAATTTACCATACCTTGTCCATCTCAATTATCAGTGCCATTATTATTTCTATTGTCATTCTGATCACCTTTAATATTATAATTATGATAATAATAATTACTAATGTCATAAATGATACTGCTATTATTATTTAATCTTTAACTCTGTACTAAACCCAACTGAAAGTATAAGGACTCTGCAGTAACGCAAATATGATATTGGTTGCAGGATACTGTTTCTTATTTTCAGGAAGTCTGAAATAGCGCTTCCTAGTAGTGACCAAATGTGAGTTTCAGGATCTTCTAAGCTGCCAGTCAGAATATGGAGGCTTTCCTCGAGCAAGGCCGGGACACACTAATGGTCACGTTTCAATGGTATTCTATCATGTAACTGAGAATCTAGGTCATTTTGTCCTATTTCCTTGACACAAAAATTTCACGAGTTGCATTCCACGCGATATTGAGAAGAAACATTATCACACTCGAAGGGACTTACTCCTCCAAAGTACCCTCCCTTATCACGTCCGGTAACATAATTCATGTTTTATCGCAGTTGTGCTGCGTTGAAGCTGGGAGACAACATTTAAGAGCCACTAATTAGTGTACCACTCATAAAATGAGTTTGCTGGCAAGTATCAGTATCTGAAATATTTCAGGCTGCAATCGTTTTTTAAAAAGTAAAGTCCGGACGCAACATTGTTGGTCAACACCTTCCAACATCGTTGGATATCCACATGTTGCATTTGTTTGCACATCCTGTTGCATATGGTTGAGTGTTGCTGGGAGTTGTTGCGCAAAGTTTGAAACTGGTCAAAGTTTTGAGCCAACAATTTCCAACATTTCTTTTGCTCCTTGATCACCGCAAAGTAGCACAATAATGTTGGGACCGTTTTTAAAGCTCTTCCAACATTGTTGTGGACAGGCACGTGCATTACCGATGGTCTCCTTGGAGACAACAATGCAATAACTTCGCGTGATAGACCAACACGCTTCATAGGCCAACGTTGTTGGGAGTTGTTACATCCGCATTTGCACACCACTGCCAACACTGACCCAACAGCTCCCAAATTTGCCGGCCCAACCATGTTGGGAGTTGTTGCGTCCGTTTGCACGCAGCTTAATACTTGATAGTGCTTTTTGCAACAAAAAAGTGGCTATAAAATTCAAAAGTTGTTGCACTAAGTAAGTGCACCAACAAGTGTAAAATTCGATGCTAGTTGCAAAAATATCCCTAGTGCGCGCTTCAGAGGTCTTTCGGCTGAATTCAGAATTAAGTGATTGATAAGTATAAGATGCTCACCAGTCAAATCTCCGATTGCTCCTAAAAGGAACCAATCCTGGCGTAGATTTCTAAAATTAGCAATACCCGGATCTAGCTCTCTCGTTATTCTATAAAACAATTACACTCAAAATTAAAACCGTTACTTATTATATATCAAGTTCTTGCTTCGTCCAAAATTATTGAATTAGACTACGTTAAGTCAATGAGCCCTTGTCTGTAACCAACCGTTGGTTTGTACACGTTCGAAGCAAAACAATGGAGGAATAGTATATACGATTGTTTTTTTGCTTGTTGCTGTTTGTTTTAGACGTCGTAAAGAGTCGTATACCGGTATACAGCACCGTTACTGGTCTTAACATAATTCACCACTTACACTATCGACCGTACTAGGTCGTCACACCTGCTGAACTGTTCACACAATTCCTAACCTAATAAAAACATGACTCAAACCTGAACTATACAAAGGAGACATAAGACAAAAAATATTTGCATTCTTTACACAATACACCAAATACCAACGCTTCTTCCTGAATTTTCGGGTTCTTTTGGCAACCCTTTACTTCCTGTAGCCGTCTACCAATATAATAAAGGCTAGTCATATGCAAAATCACAGCAGTCTTAAGAAATACCAATTTCCCTTAACCTTTGCGGTGAATTTTGCATATATTATTTGGTTAGGCTCTGGTGTTAAAGAGGTGTTGAGTAATGTTTCTCTAAAATATCATGTCCCAACAGCTAAATCGCCATGATTCTTTCAAGTGCTAAGAGTTTTCCCGGACAGCCTCCTAATCTTCTGCTTCATTTAAATATTGTGTTAAACACTTTTAATTAATAGTTTTAAAGATTATGATGTTAATCTCGATGTAATGGTGATGAGTTATAATGAGTTACCTGCAAGACACCACACTACCGTTAAATGTTTGGTTAGTGATTTCTACCGCAGATGGAGTCTATAAAGAGTAACAAAAAAGAATAAGAATTAGTTCCGGTCAGTCTAATTGTATTTCTCTTAGCTGATGATTGCATTCTTTGGTTATGTTTCAATTTGGAGTATCAGACCCACCTTTATAAGCAACTCCTTGTGAATTACACACCAATTGATGTCGAACAGTTTATTCGAGGCTGTTTCTACGGTCTTTTACAGAGTTTACATATCTAACATCTAAGCTTCTAAATGTAGTTGTAGTATTGCATCGCGCGCTTTTATTGTCCAGACTCTGTTCACACTGATAATTTCTTCAGCATTTCTTGTTGGTGCTAATATGTTGCAGCTTATACATGCATCTATCTTTTCTTAGAGCCCTATAACTTTGCGTATATCCCTTATTTTATTTAGTGCTTTAAAAAGTAACTTAATTTGTATAATAAACTCGATTGCTAGTTGCACCCTCCATGTATTATTGTGTTGATTTGTTTATATTCTATTCTGCTGAGCTTTGCGATAGAGCGTTAGAAGTTAGAGAGAGGCCCATTCTTGAATGCCTTATTCTTCTTTGTAATATATGTTTTGAACAGTCATCTCTTTTCTCTCAATTTTTAAAAATATTACGAAAAAAGGTCACAACGACGTTTTGACCGTGCTTCGGTCATTATTGAGTTCACGTATGAACTTATTAAGTATATAATAAGTAGAGTAAAGGAAAAAGAAAAACAAAGGATAACAAAATATGTACCGTAAGTATGATTTTTTTAAAAGGGGAGCGTTTACAAAATTTTCGGGCTGACAGGGGCTCCACTGTTTGATCTTTAGGCCTTCAGTAACCCTGCCCTTTTGAAAAGACTGGGCCGTGCACAGTATTAGCCAACTTAGAGAATTTGATCAGGTTATTCTAGCGCAGGTGAGCAGGTTCTGAGTTAGAGTCATTTGAGGAATTTGAATGTTCATTGATTGACACTTTCCCATTTATTACGGTTTCGCCGATGTTATTTGTGAATTTTTTTTTCTCACCCACCGTTTCAACAGACATTTGGAATCAGTTTCAGTGCCTAAATGTAGTATTAAATAACAAAACTGGACCATTATCAGTTTTGAAATTCGTTGATGCGAAACTTTGAACGGTGTCAAGAAAAAACTGCTTTTAATTTACTTTAAAAATACTGTACTTACCATTGTAACTATGAAAAGAGTGCAGCATACTCTGAGGCATTTTAATGTCTTAATTAGTCTGAGTAAATATTTCGCGCATTCTTATAATCCGTTGGGAACGGAAAAAGGAAACGATTACAGTGCTTGTAATCACGGAGATACTGAGAGCAAAGAACAAGGGCGCCCGCCCTAATTTGGGGAAACACCTGTAAAAGGAGAACTGAAGACAAGGGAGTAAGAAACAGAGAGTCAACTATGATGTTTGGTAACATTCAGGAAGTCAACTCGCCAATAAAAACAACAATTAACTAACTTACCGGATCTGTTCTATCTGGCGTTGTTCTGCTTGTTGCATAATAATGGCCACTTAGTGAGGTATTGCTGGCGCAAATAAGTATGTCGGTATCGGCCTGTGGATAAAGGTGATAAAAATTCAGGTAAGGTTAAAAACTGCCAAATTTTAGCTAGTGGTTGGAAAATCTTAGCCGTTAGCGGGAGCCCAGGTGGACTGCAGCAGTCAGTGTTGAAAAAATGTTTACCGTAAGAAATTTCCTAGACACAAAATGCCATTCGCAGAGTGTCGAAATCGCTTGTAAAGACAATTTGTATCTCGATACTGGGGCTGATGGTCAACTCTTTCAGCATTTTTCCATCCGGGAACAGGAAAGGTCGTAGAGTCCCAGGGGCTAGAGACCTCCCGGACTTTGGAATTGTGTATCACAACAACTGAAATTCATTTTGATCATTTTAAACAACTAACTTTATTTAGATCGTAACGCGAAGGATGGCTAATTAGCCCTTAACTGTAAAAAGCTAACAGTCGATTAAGACCGGCACTTAGAGAACATTTTAATAAAAGCCAAATTCGCGTATGATTGCAATTATTTTTCTGCCTCACGATTCCACAGTTTGGTAACTTACCATTTGGTTATCATCGCTAAATCCCACTCCTGCCCAGTTTCCTCTGCCTCTTAGTTCGAAAACCACACTGTTATTACCAGAAGCTTGGTAAGTTACAAGGAACTGGCAATCTGCATCCGGGCAATTATCTGGAAACCTAAAGCTTCCCTGCTGCATAGCAGGAGCCGACTGAAAAGGGAGAGATTATACAGATGAGTACATTGTACCGTTTAAGGCCACAAGTGCGTTTAAGATGTCACTGCGGCGACGGCGTAGAGAGCGTGTAAAAGCATTAGGTTAAGATAAGCAAAACAACAATTCTACCTGCTGTCACTGCACTAGCCTCCCACACAGGTGCTTTTAGGGGAGCTCGTCTTTCATCCCTTGAAAAACGAGCTCCCCTAAAAACGCCTGCGTGGGAGGCTATCACTGCACGAGAACGACATGAGATGTCTTATCCTGCGTTTTATCGACAAGGTGAACATACAACGACAAATTTCTTTTTCTCTTTTTGGATCTTGCAATCATTATCAATGAAACGTACTTTGATAGAGGATCTGATTACACGAGAAGAGGGTTTGCTCGTTTTTCCAAGTTTCGGTACCTTAACACGGTGCTTCATGGGTAATGCGAAAGTTGATAACAGCGGGATAAAAGTCTTCTCGCCTATGCGAGCCAGCATCAGTGGGCCAGCTCAAGTAGTCATGCATTTTTGTTTGACTGGCCCATTGTAGGATGGTGCGGCTTGGTTGAAGGAGCTACGTCACGTTTTTTTGCTCTTACTATTAATGAAACCCAAGTATGGAAAAAGTGGCTGATAACTTATAACTAACTTATAATTTCAGCTAAACTATACCTTAACAACAACAGCAACCCCGTTTAAATCCCAAAAGATCCTTTTTAAAGCCGGAGCACTGGGTTCAGATTTACTTTTAGCAAAAGGACATTAGGTACATCTTACCAATCCAGTAATAGAGCCCGGCCCACCCCAGTCACACAGCTTACTCCAGTTCTCTCACGCCCTCCCTGACATTTAAAGGGCTTTCCCACAAGCCTCGCGAGGTTCTGCGATACACGTATTTCTAATACTAACTTATAATTTCAGGTAAAACTTTGACCAGGTCTGCAAATATACTCCAAATAGCACATGTTATCCGTCGAGTTGTCTTCTTGCTATGTTTTCAGACGATGGTTCTTCATGAAACGAGTAAAATGTTGCGCCGACTGTTCATCCATTTTTTTTTTCACAACCAAAACAACTCAACCTCGTCCCCAGGTCTTTTCGGTAAACGGTGCATTAACCTGCAACTGTGCTGCACTTTTGACGTCACCGGTTGATTAATCCCAAAATTCTTCCAAATTTGGCCAACAGTATCTGGTTATGGTGAAGTATGCATTCTTTTAGCCAGTCAGAAACGGGGAAATATTTTGAATGAATAATAATGTATAAAGATAATATGCAACTCACTGTGTTTGTATCAACTTGGGGAATGATTGTGGAGTTAGCTTGTGTTACCGCGACTTTTTGAGGAGAAGCTGCCCTATTGCTGTGCTGTTGTATACCAGAACCTGTTTTCAAGGAAACGGATAATTATGCAGATTCAGTTAGAGGAAGTGAAAAACTAAAATTTGAGATAAACAGTCTTAAGTAGAATATGTCAGTTGAAATGAATTATTATGACAACAATCAACCTTCTACCGAGCTTTCCATCATAAGTTCAATATTATAAATAAATTAACGGAACCTCTCTTTGAGAGGAGCAACGAACAGCCTATTTCATTCATGATTGACAGATAAACTGGAGCGAAGAAACGTGTCAACGGCAACAACAGGAAATAATTCTAACTTCTTATTTTTGAAGGCAGACAATGTGACATCATAAATACTGTATTGAGGGGTAATTATGTTAGGAAAACGTCCCACTATGAGGCAGCAACAACAGCAATAACCTGAACGATAAAGATATAAAAAATGCAACAACAAACCTGTCACGTTTCCATAAGCAGCTAAAAGGAATACCTCTTGGTTAAGATCTTTAAAATTTTGTATTGGTGGATTTGGATTAATATCCCTTGAAACCCTAAAAGAGACGGATTAACTTACGTTATAAGTGATTTCGTTAGATTTAGAATCATTTATTTTTCTTTGCAATCGCTCCGGTAAATGAAGAAATACACCCAGGGAACAACCATATTACATGCCTGCATTTTATAGTGTTATTCTCGTCTGCTTGCTCGATAAATTGTACTGCTGCAGGTGTCTGGAAGAAAGACACATCGGAGTATAATAAAATCATAAGTTATAGGCAAACATATACTGCACAATTATGATGGAAGGTTCTGTCGCACTTGTTTGTAATAATCGCCCCACTTTAGATCCTGTGGCACTTCAGTGTAATAAACTTGGAATAGATGGCTGGAGGGCAAGTAGTCTTAATAAGAACTATCGTCAGGAGCCGATTATCTTGCTATCACTATTATCATAATTATAATAATATAATTAAATTATAGTAATATAATTATTATTATTGTTATGATACTTATAATAATGACGACGATGACGACGTTAATAATGATGATGAACAGTATAACAATCGAATCCAACTGCTTTCTTGTTACTGAAAAACGTTGTTACGCTTTATTGATTATACTGCAGCAGAACAAGCATGGGATGTCAACACAACCCGTACAACCCATACAACTTCCAAACTCATCACTATGAAACCCTAACATAAAGCGAACAGTGCATCCTGAATCGATATTTCCAATCCAGGGACACCTCCACGTTTTAAATCAAGGATGCAAAATATGAGGCGGTTTTCCCAGTCATCTAACTCTTAAATTCTCTCTTGCTGAAATATATATATCACTATTTTAATTTTCCATTTCTTTTCAAAACAAATTAACCATTTCTGGTTAATAGGATCCCATGTATAAACTAAGTAGATGTGATTATGTGCTGTGAGAGCAAACGAGGTTGAGGAGAGAATGGAATAAGAAGGGATGACCACGCCCCATTTTATAGATAAATGAGTTGAATGTATTACTGGAGCAAACCTAAGACCCTGTTTTTATGGAGAAAAAGGTCCTGGGTAGAAGGGTTGCTCATTCACCCAACTACCCTGGGTGAGTCTATTACCTTACAAAACGTGACGAACCGTTTACATCAGAAAAAAAGGTTTTCTCGGCTATAAGGGTGACCCACCTAGCGGAGAGAGTGACCCTCTTCCCAGGATCACTTTCTTTGCATAAATAGGGCCTAGTTGGAAGTCACGCCAAAAAAATTGATATTTTTGTCTTCTGTATACTATGGATGAAGTTGACTTCCTTTCTCACTCGATCTTTGCAAAATTAAGAAAAACTGCATACCACGAAATTAAGTTACATGATACTTACTGGATTTGTCCTTGGCGGTCTTGACCGGTTTGTTGCGTAATAATGACCACTAAGTGATTGATTATTGACACACATCAGAATGTCGGTATTTACCTATGTGATATATTTGTAAAACAGTTAATTCTTTGACTTGATGCCAGTTAAAGAGTGAGTGAGAGATTTTTGGGAATTTACTTATATAATAATATCTTAAATAAAATCACTGCATTCAACAGTATTGCTACTACGAAATGTATATTTTTAAAACAGATTTTTGGCTTCCTTATCTTGAAAAACTGATAAAAAGTTTATGAAGAAAACATGGCAGAAATAGCTAATTAATGTGGAATTAAAGACCGAAATGACCAGACTGGTCAGAGTGGACCACCCACAAAGCTGGTTCCGAATATTGCGGTCAGACCAAACCGAAAGTGCCGGAGTTTTGGCTTGAATGGAAAGCGCCCCAAGGGAGACGAAATGAATACAATTACGATGCGATTCCTTCGTTTCGTTATCCTTCTGTCCCAAAGGTACAAAGAAACTGCATAAGTGGCCACTAATTCTACTGCAAATGTTGATAAGGAAAATAGTCTTCGATGAAGAACTTTTCGAGAAAATTACACGAACCTTTTGTCCCATTTAAAATGGCTTCCTTTAAATAAATCGTAATAAGCTTTGTGCTTTGTTTCTCGCCAAAGAGACTTGTTTCCAGTTTGGTTCAAGTCACATTCTCAATTAGAGAAAATTGCCTTTGTCTTTTCGTGAATTAACCGCACTTTGGTACGTAAACATGGCGAAATTTCAAAGACATAGCTCTCTTAGTACTCATCAATTGACGTAAGTTGGAAAAGCACAGAGATGTACAATAAGGAGGTCTGCATGTATTCGCCATTAAAGAATCGAGAAGGAATCAAGGAAACTAGGCCGAGTAAACTGTGGCAAAGACTTCTGAGACTGTTACTAGAGACAGGGAAAAAAATTGGCCAATAAGGACGCTTCCCCAGTAACAATCCCAGAATCAATTGCGAAACACATTTCGGCTCCAGTCCGCTTATGGTCTCCAAAGTGGCGAGTTCTCAGAGACAACCTACCATTAATTGGTCATCACTGAAACCGACTGCTATCCAGTCTCCTTTCCCACTCAGCTCGAACTCAACATGAGTTGAATTTGTGGCATTGTAGGTTATCAGAAAATTACAATTTTCGCTCGTTGTGCACGAGGCTGGCGATGCGTAACAACCTTTGGTTTCTCCACAGCCTTCCGTTGTAAACTAGGAATATAGCAGATTAATATAGATTTACAAAAAACGTTCGCTGCTAGAGATACAGTCATTTAATTAGTGACACATGCACCATCGAAAGAAAAATTAACATATGCAAAAAGCACACAAAATGAAGCAAGAACTACGAAATGAAACTCCTTCGGGAAGCGTATGATCACCATTGATTTCTAAAGAGACTAGGTGTGCTTGGTCACTTAAACTATAACAGTGCAACGCGTTGGCACAGGATTTGTATTCTGGAGGTCAGGCTGGATTTTGTAAAGGGCTCTAAAAGACATAGTGAACCGTAAAAAGATTATCGATCTAGACTTTGTATTTTCATCTAGATAAAATTACACAAAATTAAATTCAAGCGATAAATGATTATCATATGTGAGGTTCTTACTGTCAGCTAAGCTGTGGTATTTAGAGTAGATTATTTCGAAACAATTTCATTTGTCCATCACAGAGCATACAGCAGGTAGCTGTCATTAGCACTAGGGAGCCTATTAATACATTAGAGTTGATGAGCAGAAAAATACGAAACACCCTCCGACCTTATGTCATTAACATAACGAAATCGTGTTTACCAACCGTTAATGCACAAAGCTTGCTTGATAACAAAAGTAGCAGGATAGATGATAATAATTTCTGAAAAGACAAAATCAAGATGTTACAAATTAGTAAGTAAAACTATCTTGTCCCTCAGCCTTTTTTTCGTGTCATTATAAATTTCCTAAACTATACACTAAAGCACTTCTATTTAACATGTAGCAAATGAAATCTTGTACTTCGGCGATAACTGTTTTGTTGGGTAGACCCCTTTGTACGTATCCGTTGGAAAGAATTGTTTCAAAACCCTTTCATGTGCCTGATAATTGATTAAAGGGGCTGTGTCAAAGCTGTTCAGTTCATTTTGTTAATAAACCCTATTACGCTTCCTTTAACTGGCTGTCAATGAAACTTGAGAAATTACTTGTGAATGATAAAATCACACTTTCGTGTCAAATAAATGTCTTCTAAGCATTATATCAAACATTGCAAACAACAAAAATGAACTTTGAAAAACTATTACGTGAACAAGTTTTCAAAAACCACAATTGCGATCCGTTTCAATCTCCTTCAAGTTTGTCCATGCGTGTCTCCTTTTGTATTTCTATGTTATCTATACCTTGTTTTCGTGTTTTGAGCGGTTATTTCTATGTTTCACTCAATCTGGTGGCGGTTCCCACAGCTTGGATTTTGATAAATTTTGTGACACAGCTCCTTTAAAGTTTGATTCTCTGCACGTTTGCAGAATTACGCTATGATGAATTGCCAGCAGAAGTTATTTATCATATTTTTTACCGCGGAAGAGTGACGAGCAACAAAAAGGAAAAGAGAAAAGGGAAGAGGCCTAGGACCGTTGATCGCAGGTCAGGCTCTAGCAGAAATCAAGATAATCGGTTTTTTATTGAGTCTGATACATGACAGATCACAAATTAGTTCAATTGCGCTAACATAGATGCAGTCAACTAATTGATCAAATATCAAGAAAGTCGTTTTCTCCCTCAAAAATCAGCACTGGATATCCACTTCAAGTTCACCGAATGTTTGGTCCAAATTCAATGACTGTTAAAAAGCATAGACCCAATGTTGGATCGGAGGTGATCTTTGAGTTGAATGTACTTCGATTCGAATACTTATTTTATTTCAAAAAAAGTTTTGTTGCCATAGGCAAGAACTCATTAACAGAGGGCGATTTTATCATTCTTCTGTTTTAAAATTCATATAATAGTTTCAGTCTAACCTGTAAATAGTGTTTTAGCTTTATAACCTCTATTATTAGACTTTTTGTCGCATGGCAATGTTTTGTATTGTATTGTCTTGCACTGCATTGAATTGCATTGTATGTGTTAATGTATTATTTAAAAACAGTTTCAACATATAAAGTAAACAAATCCTAAAATAGCTGTTGAATAGGCTATTTTCGAGTTCCAAATTATCTCGCTTTCCTAAAGGCTAAGCGTAAAACCTTTCTTGTGAAAATGAGATCTAGTTGCATGAGAATAAATAAATTAGTTTCAAATAAATGGCTTCCCACTTAGCCTCGCTTTGAAACAGAGGCTTGGGGCAACTCGGGAATGGCTTGTTAAATACATTTGCGTTATTACGATCTATTTGTTAGTCTCTATACTATATAACTATGATGGAAGGTCTGTTTGCCTGTATTTATATCTATTTGTTAAATTATAAGAATTATCAGGGGTAAACTGATGAATAAAAATTATTAGCGCGTGTTCAGTCAAAGTATGACTCAAGAAATTTTGAGTAACAATAGCTCACATTTCGATATATTAAAATTCTAACATGACTCCGAAGTTTTCTGGTCATACTTCTATATTTAGTTTGGTTTTCTTTGTGCTCAAATCTCTTCTGGGAATTGTGAGACAATGGAGTCGTGAAAAATTTGCAATTCTAACCCTAACACCTCGGAGTCTGTAAGAATTTGAATATCGATACGTGAGCTACTAAGTCAAAATAAATTTTTCACCGAGTGTGTATCATCTGCCAAGTTATATCACTCGAGAGCATTTTATTATTTGAGTTTTTGCTAGTGAGCTGTAGCCAGCTAACATCGGTTTTATTGCCACATCATGACCACATGAACGGAAATAAATTCTGTTGTTAATTTATTTTTCCGGGTCCAAACAACGGCATCGCTACCAAATAGAGAAACGAAACTGGAGAAAGCTTGAGAAAAAAAAACAATACTTAGAGAAGTCTTTGCGTGACTTGAATGCAACTGGCTTTAAAGTATTAACGAGTAGATAAAACATTGACGCAAAAATTAGAATAACATTTTCCAACATAATTATAAAGATAACATCTACACACGAAAACCGTTTCAACAAGCGGTCGATAATATCTCACTATTTCAATTCACTATATGTCCATTATAATTCGTTGTAATTCGCAAAAATATTAAGCACTAAAAAATAACTATTACAAGACACCGTTTCCCCCTAAACATCTTAATCATTTGGTTTTAATGAGGAGTTAGTTTTCTGTATATAGGTCTATATATAAATTATGATGCTCATAGTCGACAGAAGTAAAACACAAATGCAATGTCATGCAGGCTACAAAGGGATCGTCAAAAGCTGAAGTGTCGAGCTCTGGTCTAGAATGAACAAAGAGCTAGCAGTTGAAATATATCTAATGGTATTCGAATCCCCTAACCAATACGTAACCGTTGATATATAAAAAAGATCATGTTTGGCGGCAAGTGTTGCTATACGAATAATACTGCAGTTTTGGCAAAAGGAATACTGATTGAAGGCTATGAGACCGACGGTATATAGGCTGTGTTACATACTTCTTTCCCTTTTCTTACCTTTGCCGATGCAAGCACCATTGATAATAATGTCAAGTTTCGGTCGGTTTGGTTATGAATTGGGTCAAAGAAGGAACAACCTTTCACGCCTCCTGTGAAGTAAGTTACCAGTAATCTTGAAATTAAGAAGGGGTATTTTATACACCGCAATAAATAAGTCTCATGTTGCCATGCGAGTGGCCAATAAACAATTATAAACTTATCTACATATTGCACGATCATGGTCCAGCACCAACTACAGACTTCCAGGCAGTGATCTGCGTCATTAACCGACTTCTTGATGGCCATTGTTTCTTAGAGCACAGATTTCACGATATAATCAGGAGGACGAGCTCAACATTTTTATCGGTAGATAGGTCCCCGAGACAGCTATCAAAGGCAAAGAAGTCAGGATCAAGCCTTTTCCTTTTTTTTTTTTTTTTTTAAAGCGTCCTTACGTGTCTTTGGGAGGGTTCGGTAGATTCGCAAAACCATATCAACAATTTTCCCTTTGAGAAACGAGGTGGTTCTTCCGCCGGAAGTAGCATGCAACACGCAACACGCGATAGTGAGACTCAGCACCCTGGCTAGAATGGTCTGGCATACGTCCCAAGAAACCTCAGAGGTGTTCCGAAAAGCTCCCGAAAACGTTTATAAGTTAGTGTTTCTCCATACGCATACAAGTTTTATTGGACAGTAAAGACAAGCGAATTGAGAACCGATTTACTCGTGGTTCTCATCATCGCAATCTGAGCGTGATTTATATCGTGCAGAATCTATTTCATCAGGGGAAAGGTAGCCGCAGCATAAGCCTTTAGTAAACAGTCATTATTTGGTGTTATTCAAGAATCCACGAGACAAATTGCAAATCTTGACTCTGGCCAAGCAAATGTATCCCGGGCAGACGGATTTCTTTTTAAATCAGTACGAAGAGGCTGTAAAAAGACCTTTTGGTTATCTTCTGATTGATCTGAAAACTACTACCCAAGATAATTGTCGGTTGCGAACAAACGTCCTGCCCAGTGAAGAAGGCATTAACCAAGCAGGGTTTCAAGAAAATATTCCTCAAGAGCTTCTAAAATATCTGAAGCAGCAAACTCTTTCGCCTGTCCCGCTTCTTCCAGCTATGTAAGAAATACAAGGCAACAGCATAGATGACGTGTTTTCTCGAAACGATCTTCGGGACGATGAAAAAGCTAAACGATCCTTTCAGTTGCAAAACAGATACCTGGCTTTTAAAGAGCAATTAAATAAAAGAACAGGACCGGAAGAAATAATCAGCACTGTTCCAGATTTAACATCAAGGACACAAGATTCTTCGACAGCAACGACAAGGCCCAAAGCGCAAAAGGCGTCGGATTCAATTTGTGAATTATTTGGATGATCATAAAGCTCATGCCAAACAGCTTTGGAAACGTCGGCAAAAGAAATTCAAACCTTACAAGAACTCAATGGGCGAAGAAGATGAGGATTAATTGATTCCATTCCTTACGAATCGATGTGTATTTGACTCTTTTTGTCATTGTTTTTGAAAAAGTTTTTAAAACGGTATCTCTCTTGTGGTTTTATTGCTAGCAATTATTAGTCGCGTGTTTTAATTTATCGGCGCGCCTTGTCAAGTTATTTAAAATTGTTTATATAATAATACGTCAAG